TGGGGGGGGGGGGGGGTGAGTGTTGGAATTTTAGGAAGTTTTTGTTTTAGTACATTCAATTATTAGGATTTTTCTATTTCTAGAATTTAATATTATTGGTGTATTAACCAGACAAAATATCAAGTTATGGCTAATGGAGTATGTAGGATGTTATGGCTGAAGATAATTCTTGAAGAACTATGGATCCCGATAAACATGCCGATGAAGTTGTACAACGACAATAAAACTGTCATAAGCACTGCAAAAAATCACGCGTAACATGATCACACAAAAGCTGTGGAGATTGATAGACACTTCATGAAAGAGAAGATTGATTGTGGAGCTATTTGCATGCAGATGTCTTCACCAAAGGAATTTTCAGGCCTAGTTTTGAGTTCGTTGTATGCATGTTGGGCATGATAGCTATCTATGCTCCAATTTGAAAGGGGGGGGTGGGGGGGGGGGGGGGTGAGTGTTGGAATTTTAGGAAGTTTTTGTTTTAGTACATTCAATTATTAGGATTTTTCTATTTCTAGAATTTAATATTATTGGTGTATCATATAATTAATGTTTTCTTCTTTTATCATGGAGAGTTATGTCTGATTTTTTTATGTTCTTAATGCAAGAACCATCCTTTTTTTTTTTTTATAACCATTTTCTATGAAATTGAAGATAAATAATTATTTTTCTCTTCCAAAAAAATTATAGATATTAATGATTTTTTTAACTCCTAATTTTAAGATACTTACAATATTGTGGGCCTAATTGAAAGCCTTTGTCCTAACTATCTAGATATGACTCCATGAATCTTTTTTTTTTTTTGCCGGCTTATTATTTGAGGAGTCCAACATATTCTTCACTATTCATTTGATACTTCTATCCATAAGGTTAAAATTTTCTTTCGAATCTTTAGACTATCATTTATCCATTTATCTAATTGGTATATTTTCCAACTTTCTTGTATACGTTCAATCTACTGAATTTTATTTTTCAATTATCTTAGATTCAATAATTTCAACCATTTGTCTAATATTATCATTTTTTTATATATCCTTGCTATTTTTACCACACATCTAACATAAATTTCTCATATCTGCCTTGCTTAACATAGATATCAATGATTTTTTTTGGATGCATCAACATTTTCTGCCTAATTGCAGTTTTATAAATTTATCTTTAAGTTTCGACGGCACCCTCTTATCCCATAAAACTCTTGTATTTTTTTTTTTCATTTTAATCATCCAACCTTAACTTTTGCCCAAGTGGGTGACACCTTTTGCCCCCAAACCCTTCTTTTCCTCTTTGAAAGGAAAAGAAATAGTACAAGGAGCTAGAATATAGAGTGACATTGTATTCTATCATACTGCCCTTGTGTAACCTTATTTATCCATAGGCCAATTGTGGTTGAGTGAATCAAGCCATAACCATAGGCCATGAGTCCAGCACCCTGGAAAGCCTTGCATATTCTTTATTAGTTATCTGCTTGAAGTGCAAAAGAATGGGTGCTTCTTTATTGATGAGAATTTCTAAATTAATCTGTACTACCCAGGTACTCAGTGTTTATTTTCTGAATCATTGCAGCTCTGGGACCTGCCAAATCACTCACTGGAGACAAGGACACAAGTATGAGTGCCATCCTCCACCCATTGCTGACCACTTGAAAGGTCAACCTGTTGTCTCCAATTTGAAGGGAATGCAAAATGAGAGACCTGAAATTAGTGAAAATGGTTTGGGGATTGAAAAGGGTCATGATTCCAATGATGGTGTTTCTAACGCTCAAAGTGTTTCGATTAGTGTTTCGGCTCAATCTGAACCATCTGCCTTAGTTTTCAGCAGGCCAGACATTGAAGTAAAGCCAAATGATACTAAAATTTTGGAAACATATTCCACCATAGCGGTGTCTTCCGAATCTAATATATCATCAAAAATGAACTGTGAGAATGGAGAGGATGGAGAGAAGCATTCTATGAGTACCTCTAAAATTGATATCAATGCCGACCATCTGAATCTTTCGTCATTTTCACATGCTTCAACTACTGCAGGCACTTTGAGTCATGCATCTTTTTCGAGTGACTTACAGCCACATTTGATGCATGTAAATGATGAAACTGAGTTCAAATTGAGGGCTCCTTCAAACATGAATTCTGCTAACCCCGCTAACTCAGCGGATGCCAGGATAAGCGGAAAAATCGAAGAATTTAGACCTATGTGCTCAGGTTCCATCGACCAAGAAAAATCCAAAACGTTCAAATTTTCTGAAAATTGTCATCAAGGGCAGGGAGAAACGCTTGATTTGACTGCAGCTGAAACTATCACTTGTGCTGATTCCACTGAATCACAAAGTCGTCATAACATTGTTCACCTTCAACTGGATTCTGGGATTCATTTTGAATTGGATCTCAAACTTTCTAGCTCAAAATCTTGTTCTGCACCACCTGATCAAGGCAGATCTGACTCTAGAGAACCTGTGAGTTTAGTCACTGGAAACTCAGGTGAAGCTGCTAAGGAGAGTTCTAACGAGCAATTAAAATCTTCATCTCCTATTCATAATAAGGATCATCTTACTTCCGTATATCATAGTAAAACCTTTCTAGGAAACGGATCTCCAAAGGTTGAAAACATTGCTCCTGTTAGCGATCAATTACTAAAGATTGATGGCTCTTTACCAAATGGTAAGGTTTCTTCGAGGAAATCTGTTCAACTCAGTACACCGTCATCATCACCTTCAAGGCGCACTCAATCTGGACTTTCTAACCATGAACATGGAAAGTACAACAAGGTGCTCATACACTGGCTATGTGATTTATTCAAATATTGTTTCCTTGATTATATTAACACTTTGATTGCTAATATTTTACTATCTTGCACCAGATGCTTTTCCCTTATGATAACTTCATCAGGCTTTACAACTCTGACAAGGTGGAGATGCGCCCTTGTGGTCTTGTGAACTGTGGAAATAGGTAATTGTTTCTTTAACTTACAATATTTTTAACATGTTACTTATTGAGGATGGGAGCGTGGATGTTTTTACAATACAACAATTGCACCTTTTGTACATTGTAACACATTAATTCTGTTCTTCTGTCATTCATTTTCAATCAACTGCTTTTTTAAGTTGATATATTTTCCTACTGTTGTCTTTTTGTGCTGGGTTTGAGTAGTTCGTGTTAACTTGTGTGGTTTCTTCCAACCTCCTGCAGTTATGGAATCTAATGTAATTATCATGCTCCACCAAAAATTCCCGTAATGTTTACAACATACTGAAAGCAGTCTGAACCGTCATTATTGTCGGTGTTGATGTGCTGTTGATTTATTGCAGTTGTTACGCAAATGCAGTTCTTCAGTGCCTTGCATTTACCCGTCCACTGGCGGCATTCATTCTTGAAGGATTCCATGCTAAAGCTTGTGAGTTTATGCCATTTTTCTATAGCGCTGTGCTTTAATTTTTATTTTTAAACTTATTCTAACCATCATCTACTTTATACTTAGGTCTGAAGATTGGTTGGTGCTTCACATGCGAGTTTGAAAGTCTTCTAATCAAGATAAAGCAAGGGAAATCTTCGGTGTCTCCAAATGGAATAATATCTCATATACATGACATTGGGAGCAATTTTGGTTACGGGAGTGAAGAAGATGCACACGAATTTTTAAGGTGAAATTTACAATTTAGAAGTATGCATTCTACCACTACTAAAAAATATCTTAGAAGTATGCATTCTACCATTACTAAAAATTATCTTCTATTTGCATCATCACACACACACATTCCCCAATTTGCTTGGTTCCAGTTTCTGAATCATGACAAACACACGCACACACACATTTTCCCCCAAATTGCTTAGTTCCAGTTTTTGAATTTACATATTCCAGTTAGTCATTTATGGCTTGGTTGGATGATTGACAGTGCTGAGAAGTATGCATATTCCATTTAGTCATATTCCAGTTTTTTATTTGAATTTTAAAGTTGCTTCTAATAATGCTTTATTTGTATATAACTTCTTAATTTAAATCTCTCTTTAAGGCAGATCTTGTTTTTATTTTGAAATTTGACATTACCTCTAATAATACTTAATTGACTTAAGTTCTTGTTAATTTAAGCCTTTGCTATAAAGGTTGAAGTGTTATTTATTTTGAAAGTGCATCATTTGCAGACTCCTTTTTGTTTTGAGCATTAACTTCCCCCTTCTGAAGTTTCAAACTATTTCTTGCTTCATGAGTAGGCACCAATTAGAGAGAGAGAGAGGAAGTCTTTTTGGCCAAAATAATTAAGCTTAGGAATGCCATTATAAAAGAAGGGTGCTGCCAATTTGTCTAGAAGGGAGAAAATGTTGAATTTCTCGGTATTCTCTTGTTAAGCTCAACCATTCTTAAATATTTCACTAAATAATATAAAGTTTTGACGAAATCTTGATGAAGATAATTATATTATTCTTAGATCATAATTCACCCCTTTAGAAACTCTTAAAACCTACCATTGCTTTGTGAATCTCATAAAATTGTTATAATTATTGGACATTTTATTCTTCATATATGATTTTTTGAAACTTATATGCTTGCTGAATTGAGTATATTCTTACCACTTATTCCTAAAACAAACTTTGATCTGATTGTGATCAGGTGTAACAAGCAGCTCTGTGACTCATAGGACCCATGTGAGCAATGGAGATGTTTGGGACAATAGATTTGACCATCAATTGAGCTTAAATAGATTGTAGAGATGGATATAGAATAGAGAGAAATTTGACTATGAAAAACTCCATTTTATTGATTTTGCCAAGTGGTCATATCAGTTGTAAATGGGAACTATTAAAGTGGTTCATCCCATTTACCTTTCTAAATTCTGTAGTGCTTCTGAATGGATTGGTTAACCTATTTAAAAAAAATGCATTAGAGTAGAGGGTGTATAATTTGGAGTTATTATTGTATTGAAAGTTTAAAGTAGGTGGAACAAGAAAAAGTCCCACATCCTATTGACAAATGAAAGTCAACTGAAATATGATTATAGAAATATTAACAGGTTAAATCATATTGAGCATCCTTATAAGAAAAACAAAGGAGTTTTCCATTTGGTTTTCTTGCAGCTTCAATTATCTGGATGGCGAAGAGTCTAGATGATTAAGTTTCTCATGCAAGACCATAAGAAAATCTGAAATCTCATGGGGTTTTTTTTTTTTTTTTAATTTAAAGACAAATATAATAACTGGATAATTATATGAGTACATTGAAGGCAGTTTAACAAGAAATTCCAAAGCAAATAAAATAAAATAAAATAATAACTAAACAAAAGAAAGGCACAAAAATTTAATTTGGTACAGTTGAGTTTGATATTTGTACCCCAATAATTGAGTATGGTTTCATTTTTTAGAAAATAGTAAATAAAGCAATTGATGAACACCACCAAGAGAAAAGAGGAGAATTTGAGAATGATTTAATCGATGTACATCAAAGTGAAAGCATTGTGCAAAGTGAGCCCAACAGAGAGAGGCTTATCGAGTGCATCGAGAGCAGTAACAAGTGCATGGCCTTGGTCATGTGAACACATTGATGAGGATGTCAGTGAGCATTTGAACAATTGTGTGCGTGCAAATGAGCGAGCGAACAAGGGCTAGTACACTACCAAATGTGGATTGGTGTGCAAGTGGGAGATAATGATCAAGCTAATAGGGTTGGGGTCAGCGTTGTTATGCTGGTGAAAAGAGTTGGAATGACAAAAAAAAGGGGAGAGAGGGAGCAGACAACTTGGACAAGAGTAAATCTTGTTTTGATATCATTTTAGAGAGAATGGTGTTTTTTTTTTCCTTTTGACAGAATACAAGTTCTTAGGCAAATAAGGACATAAAAAGAAGATAGTAAGGAGGAAAATACTCTTAATTATGATCATATATTACAACAAAGTAAATTTATCAACCCATCACTCCTAATTGCAGTCCCCTTTTTCTCTCCTCCACCCTCTTTCCCCGTCCCTCTCCCCAACAAAAAATTCTTTCCTTGGACCTCAATAAAGACTTTCAAAAGAGTTAGATATTGAACTTTTCACCAACCTCTCTCTTCTTATGTTAGAAAACTCTTACCATATGTCAAAAGTTGGATTTTAAACATCAGACCTCTTGCTACCATTATAGCTGATCGCTTTCTGGCAATCGTTTATTTAATCTGGTCAACCCGTCTTCGCTTTTGGAAATTTTGAATCATCTACTTTTTCCATATATGATTGTAAATACCATGCCACTCCGTTGATTAATCTATTTCTTTCTGCATGTAAACTATTTCATTTGTGCTTTGTGAAGGCATTCATTAATGCATTTCTACAATCATTTTGCAGATATTCGATTGATGCATTGCAGTCTGCATGTCTGAAAGAAGCTGGGACAAATATTGTTGGCGAGTTAGCAGAAGAAACCACTCTCATAAAATTAATATTTGGCGGATATCTCCGTTCTAAGGTCCTTTTTTTGGAATGCAAGTAGTTACTATATTGTTACTCCGAGAGAAAAATTGATTATCATTGTTCATGCAGATAAAATGCTTGAGGTGTCAGGGAAAGTCAGAGCGGCGCGAACGGATGATGGATCTTACTATTGATATTCATGGTGATATTATGACCCTCGAAGAAGCTCTTACACATTTTACAGCTAGTGAAGTTCTAGACGGAGATAACAAGTACAAATGCGGCAGGTTTGCCCAATTTTTTTTGCTTTTTGTTCTGAATATCTATTTTATACATCAGATTCATTTTTTTTTAGTTATCCTATAGCTTCTTGGTTTTGAAGCTTGAATTTTGATGAATTGAGTTATGTAATTTAACCACTTCGGAAGTTTCAATTTCATTGAGTAGCAATCTTTTCTTAACCCTCATTTTTATTCTTTATCAGATGCCAATCTTTTGAACGAGCAAAAAAGCAATTGACAATTCTGGAGGCCCCTAATGTGCTCACAATTGCTTTAAAGAGATATCAGGTAACTGGAGGTTATAGACGCACTCAGAAGTCCTAAATTTTTGTTCCCTTTGAGTAATATGATATTTATTAGGTTATCAGATTGCTATGAGGAATTTACATACAAACCACTCAATTCCTATGTATTCACATATCTAACATATAAATTTTACCTTTTACATTTATACGACTCAAATCTTTCATATCTCATGTTTTAAAACGTGAAATACACCTTTTCATTCATGGTTAAGATGGTATGTATGTAAAAATTGAAGTTTAGGTCTTAGATATTAAAATACATTGGAATTGAATGGTATGAATGTAAATCCTTCTATTGTTATTTGCCTTGACAGTCTTGCCTTTGTTGTGATCTTCAGTCTGGCAAATATGGCAAGTTGGATAGAATGGTTTGGTTTTCTGAGTACCTGAACTTGGCTCCGTATATGAGGGGTTCCGATGATAACTCGCCAGTTTATAGGCTCTATGCTGTTGTGGTTCATAGCGGTCAAGCGAATGCAACTTTCTCAGGTCATTATGTGTGCTATGTGAAGGACACACGAGGAATGTGGTTCAAAGCTGATGATAGTGTGGTATGTCTTTTATGTTTCAGGCATCTCTTTTATTACTTTCATATCATGAACATGTTTGTTATGTTAACTGTGCAGAAGAGAAAAATATTAAAATGTTCTCCTGACTCTTTACATGTGTTTATGAAAGTGTCAATTTAGTCATTAAACTATTATGATGGGGTCTAAAATATTGGCACATTTATAGACATTGGGATTAAATTGACCCCATTAAATAATCAGGGGACAATTTTGATACTTGCATACAATTTTCTCCCTATTAGAGAATGCTAAAGATGTTTGGAATATCTTTTTTTTTTCTCTGCTCCTTGAAACATCTGAATTGAAAGGAATTATTGAAGCTTTCTTAACCCTAGCAAGGATGATAAAAAAAATATAGCTTAATATTTAATCTCAAGTTTATTTTCGGATAGAATCTAATATATCTGTCAAGTCTCAACCAAAGCTTGGAGAAGGGTTTTAAATTTACCATGAAGCCTATAAGCTTTTTTTGGAATTGTTGTTTGATTTTCATTTTAAAATTTTTTTTTTCATATTTATGTTAAGTTTTTTTGTAAAGTTTGGTTTCTTTTAATAAGAAGTGGTTTTCTCTAGCTTTTGGAAAAGAAGCACTTCATTAGAAGAATTGGTTCTTTTTCCCGGCAGAAACGTAGATCATGATGCTTTTTGTGCTTTAGCAACTGCTTCAAAAATGCTGCCATACTTAGCTTCACTTTGAACTTAATACCTATGTAAGAATAGAGTGGTATATTTGTAAATCTTCCTAGATAGTAATACTGCTCTACTCCAGTTAATGTCTTAACTTGTTATGGTTTAGCACTGAAGTCTAGGATGACTTACTGATAAAACATCAAATCAGCAATTAGGGATGAATATGTTTAAACCATGGTTTATATTTAACAATTCGGCAACTAACAATTTTACATTTTACATTTTTACAATTTATATGTTATTTGCAGGTAAAACAAGTGGACCTTAAGAAAGTTTTGTCCCAACCTGCATACATGCTTTTCTATGCCCGGTAAACACAGATTCTCATTTCTGCTCTCAAAAACTAATCCTTTATTACACCATCTCAATCCATCAAAACTTCTCCTCCATTAGGTGCTCTCCTCGCGCCCCAAGCTTACTAAGAAAAGAAATGGCGAAGAAGAATAAGCCGAAGGAGCCAGAAAACAAAATCAAACATAATAATACCGGTCGCCGGACCGACGATCTCTTGGACGAAGGATTTCGACGCCCTCATAGGGTTGATTCCTTGAGCGACATATCTTCTCTTTTTAGCCACTCCGATGAGGGTTCTAACTGGAGCACGGAAAGCACCAAGGACTCCGCAGCCTCGGACGACTGCACCGACTCTACATTGAGTGAGTCAGGCCACACGAACAGCCCAAGGCGGGTTTCGGTTTCGTCTGATGTGAGTTCGTTGGATTTGAAGGTGGATGGGGAGGGCAAAAATGGTGGGGAATGTGGTGGTTATCTGGGGAGGGAGGGACTGCAGTTTTTGTACAACATTAAACACTATAGAAATCTAACAGAACAGGTTAGCAGTAGGGGGAACAGCGAATTGGTTAGTTCCAGTGAGGCGAAGTCCAATGTATTATTTAGAAGAACCGTTGGGGATAGGACTGCCCAAGCATTTTATTAGTCTGTTTTGGGCATGGTAATAAGAGTAGTCTTCCTAATTTTTATATAGGTAGTTTTTATGTAAAGATGGAATTAAGCTTACTAATTTGATTAGGCTTTTGATTCTGATTTTTTAGAGTTTTGATGCTCTATTTGGGATAATTATTATTATTGCGGAAAATTAGTGGTTAAATGCTTATGATTAACTATGGTTTATGCAATTTGTTGGGGTGTTGTAGCTTTTTTTTAAGTTAATTTGGTAATAGATTAGGGAAAATTACATGCGTACCCAATTCTTATGGATTTAGGCATCTCACACCTAAAGTTTTTATTTTTTATTTTTTAAACACAATGCAACACTTTATGTATGGATAAAAATATTGATTTGATTATTAAAAGGTGATAATGAGTGCTATTATTTGTATGGGATTTGTAAATATGAAAGTTTTGATGTGAGATAGGTAAATCCATCAGAATTGGGTGTTATGTATGTAAATGACCCTATTTTGAAAGTCCTACATAAATACCATTCAATTCTCTTGTATTAACGTATGTAATGTTTAAACTCCAATATTTACACACTGCTATCTTTCCTGTGCTCGAAAAAGGTGTGTTTTTTTTGTTAAATTAAAATAGTGATATTTCTGATGTGATATGAAAGATTCGGGTGTTATAAATATAATAATTAAAAATTATTTGCTGGATATGTAAATAAATAAGAATTGGATGGTATGTATGTAAACGCTCATACTATTATATATTAGAACCATAAATTGCTGCCAATTTTCTATGATGTTATCTTTTCAAAATTATAAAATTTATGTTTTAAAAGGAAATTATAATATATATATATATATAGAATGGGGAAAGAAAATCTCTCTTTAGAAGTGCTAGAAAAGAAATTTCAAGGCAGCTAGGGGTGGATTGAGTTGTGCTCGAGTCACTCAATTTGAGAGTATTTAAAGGATAAATAATAAGAAATAAATTTGTATAAAATATAAAATATTATTATTATTAACTAATTTATAATTTAAATAACATTTGCTTAAATTTTAATATATATTTTTAATTATATTAGCGACTGTCGATTTATCAAGCCGAGCCATTTATAAAATTTAACCATGGTGATGAAGGCGGTAAGATTACCCAGCCTTCTGGCCGAGAGCACAGCGAAGCTAGGCATCTCCTCCGTGAGCGCCGTTGGAGCGGGAGCGGGAATCGTCCGATCAATGTCATCATCGCCTCCGGCTTCCTTTACAACTCTTAAGGAAAGATCAATTTGCGAGCGCGAGGTCAAACGAAGCAAATTCATCGCCATCGCCGCACCAATCTCCGACGTGCGCTCCGCTCATTCCTTTCTCTCCGAGGTCTTCCTTCTCATTCTCTATATTTATTCATTTTTTTACCTGTTTGAGAATTCTTGGATTAGGGTTAAATTAGTTGAGAAGATACTACTGCTGATTGCGTTAGTGCTGCTCGAGATTCACGGAAACAAGACGACTCTGTTTTATTTGTTATTCGCTAATGCTTTTACTGAATGATTCGCCTTAACTAACTGGGAAAAAGTGCTGCAATCATAGTTTAATGATGTTGAATTCTGATTTGTTCAATCAAAATCAAGGAATAGAGTGTAACAAAAGAGAGAGATTGGTGTGAACAGTAATGAACATTATACTAACTTTTCCATTTTTTAAAATGATATTTCTATTTATAGGGGATGAGGTATAATATGATAATATTATAGTTCCGCCCCCACCTTCATGGGTGTTGTACAAAATATTTCAGGTATTTTGTATATATGAGCTTATCATTCGACTGCTTTCTGGCTCTGTTGGTTGAGCTGGTATGGCTTCAGCTCGGTAAGGCCGGTTCAGTCGGCTAGGCTAAGCCGGTGTTACCAATCAACTGAGCTTGATTAGCTTCAGGTCGCTAAGCTTTGTCGATCGATTGATTAGTCTGGGTGTCAACTTTCAATCCTTGGATAAGAAGCTCCTGTCAGCGGAACGAGACTAGCCTATCAAATAGAAGGTGAATCACCATAACCTGGTAAGTAGCTCGTTCCTCAACGAGAAGAGCCGGCTGGGTAACTATATGACTCTATTGTATTGTCAATTTTTTTTCCCTGATAAGGAGCCTTGAGGAATTCGTGGGACGATTGGTAATGTTCAGGAACTGGATCTTTCCTCGGGTCGGATCTACTGAAGGTAGGATGCTGCCTTCGGTCAGTTTTCTTGCAGTGAATAGCTCGGATGTTTATCTGTTTTGCTTTAGTCTGATTGGTTTAGATTCAGATCGTTTAATCGCTCTTTTTGTCCTTCAACTGGCTCGGCCGGCCTTCAGCTTTGGTTCGGATGGCTCCATCTGATCGGATAAATGGGCATTCTGGTCTTTTGTCGGTGGGCCTCCTTTATTATATTTTCTTTCTTCCAGGCCGTAAGATTTTCTCGGGATCAACACTGACATATTTTTTATGAACAAATGATTAAAGTGAAATTGATGCTTTTGTCTCAATTGAATTGACCTTCCAAGAAATTGCAACTAAGTTTGCATTGTTTTTTTGATATCCGTGAACTATCAGCCAACATAGCCTATTGATCTTGGGAACAGTTGTGCAAGAGCTTACAGCCTTTTCGTTAATTAGGTTCTTAACTTTGTTGAGGGCTGTGGGTTATCATGCTTTAGCTAAAGTATTATTTGACATAAAATCATGGCAATCAAAATTTTGGGAACTTTAATACCTAATATTTGAAAAATTTTACTGGCTTTCACCCAATTCTTATGTATTTATATATCTGACACCTAAATTTTGATTTTTGCATTAATACCACCCAAATCTTTCATATGATACCAAAAATATCATCAGTTTAACCTTTAAAAAGTCAGATATACGTTTTCATGCATAGGTATATGGAGTCATCATTTCAACTTTTGAAAAGTAAGATATACCTATTTTAGCAATAGTATCTCTCAAAGAGTGCTTGGGCCTGAGAAGCCTTAGATGCTTTAGATGTTAATTTATTATGATTCTACTAGCTGATTGCCTATCAGAGTTTTTTCTCATAACTTTAGTTTTATATGTAGGGCTGCAAATGAACTGAGCCAAGCTATGTATCTGCTTTTTCGAGCTCGATCTCGTTTATCAAAAGTTTGTTCGAGCTTGGCTCAAAATCGATTTGAACTCGGCTCATATAAGAATTATTAAGTTTATTTATGAGCTGAGCATTTGTTAAAATTACGGTGACCATTGAGGGATCAAACAATCATATATATATATATATACATACATGTATGTATATATATATATATATGATTGTTTGCGCTTTACTTGAAAGGTAATTGAAGGAAAAAGCTCACGTCAAACCACTATGTGTTCTTCTTTATCTTAGCTACTAATCCTCACTTGCACTCACACACACAGGGAAAAGCGGGAAAGATCCGTGGGAGATCAATCATGGAGGTTTCCAAACTCATATTTCTCATTATTCATCATTTAAAACGGAGCCTTGGCCATCTATGTGTAGTAGAAGGCGGTGTCATGTTTACATATAAACCCATTGCTTGATTCACACACAAAACTTACTACAACAAGAAAATGCAACGTATAATCTAATGTTCTCTTAAATATTTGTCATAATACTAAAAGACTTTTACATGATCATAAAAATATAATAAAATGATCATATAATCGTAATACAGAAATCTAAATTGGCATATTCACCTTGTCCTTATTGCGATGCATATTTTGGGCTTTCTCATATTAGTCATTTGAAGCATTCATACTAATTTGGCTGTCTTATTCTCTTTGCTTAAACTCAATACTGTTGACGACTTGCATGAAACCCCTCCGTAGACGTTTTATAGCACTGTTTTGAATGTCTCAATCTTTTAATTTTCCGTCCATGACTTTTTATGATTTCTACCACATTACACCTGAAATAATGTTCTGTTTGTGCAAGCACGGTTTTACATGTTTGTCATGGCATTACTGAATGATTTTCAAGAATGTGTCTGAGCTTAAATGAAATATGCTTATGTCACATTAGCGAAGTTTTGTTTGACATATTTTCTATTGTAAGGACTTCATGGTAATCATAATTCTATAATCCATCTTATGGCTTGTGAAGGATAAAGCTAGAATGAATCACTAAACACTTCAAAAGGAATCTCTGAACGTAAAAGTAATTTTATTTAAATTATTCAGCATGTAGAAGCTTTTAAAATGATTCTAATTGAACTTAATTTTGCTTGATATGAAGACTGGTTAATGAGATGACCAAATTCCTACAATTTTCATTTTATTTACTTACTCCATTAGAAATGACACGTATTAAATTGAGAAGGCACGGCTGTATGAACCCCTAAAGCTAGCTAAGGAACTGCTTTTTAGATCCGAAGGTAGTATATATGACTATGGAAATTTTGTTCATGTTGTACTGATGATGCATGTCTACAAACTAAATAAGGGTGGACCTAGCTTCAATATTAAGGGTTGGCAAAATTATCGAGTGTTAAATTTTTTTTACGTGTTGGGGGAAAAAATCTATTGAGAGTGGGAAAGATTACTAAATTGCCTGAATTTTATAAGAAAAATATTAAATTTTCTTTCATTTATATTGAAATCCATGAAATAGTATCCTTTCTGCATTTCCGATTAGGTAAAATTTTAATTTGCTGGATGTTGTACGGTTAAATTTTTTATGAAAGATTTACATGCATACCACACAATTTATGCGTATATATAGAACACCTTAACTTTATATTTTATGTTTATTCTACTTTACCTATGCACAAAAACATGTATTTCACTTTTTAGAAGTCAGTAATAGTAATAGTGATTTTTGCTGTGATATGAAAGATTTAATTTTAGAAATTTAAAAATTGAAGTTTAGGTGTTAGATATATAAATACTAGGGGCATGAATGTAAATGCTCCAACTTTGATAATAAAAACATGCTAATCTTCTCTAAGCATCTACTTGATTATTTTCCTTTTAGTCAACAATGATTGTTTTTTTGGATAATCCAATATCAATTCTTGTTGTTAGCTAAAAATTTCTAATGCTACGAGTACTTTTTGGGGCGCACTCATTTCAGTTCATGGATTTGTTGTAAATTTAATGAATCAATTTATGTTTTTTTTTTCCTATATATTCAACTTCTGGGATTCAGGAATGCTGAATGTATTTAAAGAGATTCTGATAGCCGTTGGACTTATTTTTTTGAACTTAGGTCCAAGATCTACGAGCTACTCATAATTGTTGGGCTTACAAGGTTGTTAACTTCTCCTTTCCTTGGCCAATGCTTTTTTGGTGCATTTACATACATACCTCACAATTCTTATGTATTTGCTTATCTAACACTTGCACAGTTTTATTTACACGCACAACACTCAAATCCTTAACATCACAACAAAATACCACAATCACTATATTTTAAAGAGTGAAATACACTTTTTCATGCATTGATTTATGATACGAAGATGTTATAAGTGTAAATATTAGCCAAACATTGCTTGTCAGATATGTAATTGTAAATACATAAAAATTGTGTGGAATGTATGTTAATTTCCCCCGTTTTTATTGAAGCTTAAGCTGTTCCTTCAATTCTTTTTTTACAAAGCTTGGAGATGAATATCGCAGCAATGATGATGGTGAACCATCTGGTACTGCTGGCAAACCTATATACTCAGCAATCGTCTCCTCAGGTGTTGATATGGTGATGGTTGTGGTTATCAGGTATGGTATTTTCCTAAATATTTTATTGTAGATGTCTCTTCTGCCAAAATTTAACATAGATTAGTTCTAGGTTCATTACCAACTAGGAATATATTTATGAGCAAAATATCAAAATTTTCTGATTCATTCAAGTAATACTCATGTCGTGTTTTTGAAGTGTTGAACCCATCTATTTGTGTACCGAGTTCAAACCACTGAGAATTTACGAAAATATCAATTCTTTCTTATATGTTTACATATCTGTACATATCTGACACCTAAACTTTACTTTTTTACAATTATACCACCCAAATGTTTCACATCACATAAAAAAAAAATATCAACTTTTTTATTTTTAAAAGTGAAAGACACTTTTTCATGCATAATAAGGTAGCTTGTATGTAAAAATTGAAGTTTAGGTGTTTAGATATGTAAGTACATAAGAATTGAGTGGTATATATGTAAATTCTCCAACTAAAAAATATTTGCTGGGATATTTTTTGTAAATTTTGATATTTAAATAATAGTTTGAATAATAGAGGTAGCAGGATATTACTTGTATAAAAGTCAAATTTTGGGTGTCATGTATGAAGTTGCCAACTTAATTTGTGGTATCAATGTTGTTCTTTACTTAAAAATAAGATGCATTTACATCATTACTGACACAATTCTTATGTATTTACATATCTCACACCTAAACTTTGATATTTACAAAAATAACACTCAAATTTTTATATCACATTAAAAATAGCACTAGTACTATTTTTTTAAAGTGAAAAATATTTTTTCTTGCATAAGTTTAAGGCACCAGTGTTACGTATGTAAATATGAAATTTTAGGTGTGAGATACGTAAATACATAAGAATTGTGTGCTACTAATGGATATTTTCCTAAAACTAATTGACCTTCACCCACTTCATAGGTATTTTGGTGGTATAAAACTTGGAACTGGTGGACTGGCTAGAGCTTATGGTGGCGTTGCGTTAGAATGCCTTAAAGGTGCTACAACCTGTTTTGTTAAGCCAAAGGTAATGACTTTATGCGCAATTCTTAATTCTCGAGTCTTGGACTATACATTTTTTAAATGTTTTGTGATACGATGTGGCACAATTTTTCACAAAATTAGGGCAAACACATATTTTATTACTGGAACATTAAACATTCAATACGAATACAAAGATAAATACCTACAATTATGGAGGTAGATGATCTATCCCAATTCCTATCCCAATTCCTACAATTTGGAGAGGTAGGAAATCTTTCCCAAACCCTAAACTTAAGACTTAGAATAACAATTTCATACATAATCCTCTATTAGCCCTATTTATACTTAACAATAATTAATAATAAAAAACTACATTGCCCTTAGGTACAAGTGTAATAATATTACTCCCCTCCGAAAAAAATACATTATTCTCAAGGTGTGAAAAAAGAAAACGACTGCTGGATCAAGTCGTGCGACTCCCGGTGATAAACTGCTTGAATCTAGTTCTCGCCATCAACACTTGTACACTCATCATGTCCTCTTTAACTTCTTAGAAGTCTGGGTCATCACTTTCCCCATCGAAAGTTGTCCTTCAATTTTTTCGTCCACAATCAAATTACAACCCTTCACGAACTTCTGGTCGTATCCTGTAAGTTTCATTTCTCAATACCTTCTTGGTCTTAGGTAACGACCACTCCATTATAGTTATCACCTTCAATAGATCCGCCGACACCAATGTCTTGCACAAATTATGGTCATCGCGAAGCACCACCTTCCTCCCCTCCACCCAAATCTCCATAGTCACAGATTTCCAATCCAACCTCGTCTCTCCAATTGTTTGTGGCTACTTCATTCCTAAAACCACCTCAGTACTTTCCAAGACAGAGAAGGAAGTCCTCCTTCACTTGTATGCTCTGCAATGTCAAGATCAGTCTCCTGCAAATTCCCCGGCTTTTCTAAACCTTTCTTGTTCTTATCATAACCCAAAAATTTCCCGTATCTACCAACTTCAACCCCAACTAGTTCACGACTCGATTCGAGATGAAGTTGTGAGTGGCCTCACTATCCACTAACACCACTACCTGCGCCCCCCCCCCACCCCCC